AGTTAACTAGTCAAATAAATCTAAAACCATTAAATGTTTTGTTATATTAAATGAAATAAAATAAACATTAACTGAAAAAAATAAAAATTATTTAAACTTATTTTATTTCAGCTAGTTGCCAAAGCAGTTCTCATTTTATTTTATTTTATTTTTTATTTTAGTGTAACTTGATACACTAAAAAACTAAAACTGAAATAATAATTTATAAAAACCACAACAAAATAAAAAAATAAAAAATTATTCAAAATATAAATACAATTTAAATAATAAAATAAAATAAAATATATATATAAATATAAAAAATTAAAAGATTATATATTATAAAATATATTATCATAGATATTTGTAGTTAGTTAGATGCCTTTCATCTTATAGTGCCTAACAGTGCAATAATTCCTATTATCCTTGTACACACAAGCCACAGCTTTTTCTAGATTGCATTGAGAGCTACTTTGAACGTATCAAACCTCAACAGGAACCTCTAAACGGGAAACTGGCATTAAATGAGCATCAAAGATCAGATGCTTCCGTTGTTTGGAGACCAAAAGTGACTGCTTTCAGACCAGTGCAGTCTCACCTGCAGAAAGACCTTGAGTCTGTCGAGCGGCGCGGTTCCTGTCCTGGACACCGACCCCGCCACGGCTCCTGCCATCAGCTGCCGCCACACGAACCCTGACTGCTTCTCCTTCTCCGAGAACTCGTCTGGGACCGTCAGAAGCTCCCCGATGTCCAACATCTACAAACACACAATAATAGACTTACAGAAAGAAAGAGGCTCATTCTATAGTCATACAAAACTCTTTTGCTTCGTACCACCGAGTGTTTCCAGTACTGAGCGATTTCCTCCATGTTGTGCAGAGGGTTAAACAGGAAGTGATCTCGCCACTCGAACCAGTCGATGGTCATGGAATGGTCTTTATCCATACTGTATCAACACATTTCACAAGTACTGCGCGTCACAACTGAATCACACCTGAAAAGCACTTTGCACATTTGTGACCCTGGAGCACAAAAGCAGTCTTAAGTCGCTGGGGTATATTTGTAGCAATAGCCAAAAATACATTGTATGGGTCAAAATGATAGATTTTTCTTTTATGCCAAAAATCATTAGGATATTAAGTAAAGATCATGTTCCATGAAGATATTTTGTAAATTTCCTACCGTAAATATATCAAAACTTAATTTCTGATTAGTAATATGCATTGCTAAGAACTTCATTTGGACAACTTTAAAGGCGATTTTCTCAATATTTTGATTTTTTTGCACCCTCAGATTCCAGATTTTCAAATAGTTGTATCTCAGCCAAATATTGTCCGATCATAACAAACCATACATCAATGGAAAACTTATTTATTCAGCTTTCAGATGATGTATACATCCCAATTTCGAAAAATTGACACTTAAGACTGGTTTTGTGGTCCAGGGTCACATATGCTAAGCACAAACACACACACACACCTTTGCAGTATTTTGGCAGCCTGTTCCAACGTGACGTCCACGCCTAGATTGTGTAACGACTGCTGGATCTCCCCGACGTCCAACTGACCTACAAAACATACAAACAATGCGCTATTGTACTGAAATGTAAGGATAAACTAACAATATTGTGAGATAATAGAATTAATGGAATAGATGCTAATGCTAATGTGAGGGTATATATGCTAAATTAAAGTGCTAACAGCAATGTAATACCTGCTGATGCTAAAATGATGTTGTAGATGTTAAGAGTGTTTAGGCGCTAATGCTAAAATGAGGGCACAGATGCCAACAACAATACAACTGTGATTGTACAGATGCTAACAGTGATGTAATAGCATACCTGCTAGCGGTACTGTGATTATACAGATGCTAACAGTGATGTAAAACTCCACATGCTAATGCTAATATGAGGTATAGATGTTATGTAATGGTATAGATTTTAGGGTTATTGTGAGGTTACAGATGGCAAATATATCTCTAACCTAAAGTTAAAGTAAAACGAGAACATAAAAATGATGTTGTATATTCTAACAGTGAATTAAGACCAGTGTTGTTTTTGTGAACTAAATCGAAAACTATTAAAAACCATTGTAGTTAACTGAAATGAAACCTAAAGTAAAATTATAACGAAAACTGAAAATATATATAAAAAAAAAATTTAAAAGCTACTTTGAAATATTAATACATACTGTAATAGAATATACAGTACAATAACACTGATTCTGATGATACAGTGAAGTTGATCGAAACTAACCGTCATTGTTGCGGTCCAAGCTGCGAAACATGAGTTTAAGGCGTTTCTCATGTGAACGCAGATACTCGGTGAACTCTTCAAAATCCAGCTGACCATCGTGATTAACATCTCCAGCTCGTACAATCTGCTGAATATAGGGCATTTACAGAGAGATAGAGGGGGGTGGGAGAGAAATGAAGGGAAAGAGGGGTGCCGGGAATCATTAGGAAAGGTGGGATGGGGTGCAAATGAAGGAGAAAAGCACATTAAAACCATGCAAAAGCCACCAGCCCAAAGCACCAACATCACACATGAGCAGTCAGACATTATCACTGAATCAAACACAGGTTAATTTCATTCTAATTAAATGCATTGACAAAATGAAGGTACATTAACAAACGAAAGCAGCAGAGAAAGCCAAGTGCGCAAAACAGTAGCTTTACAATGTGTTTGATTCATTTATATACACTTAATGACTATATTAGTGTTTAAATCCACATAATTGCTAGATAAACCGGCTAAATAATTGATGTTTAAATCTCTCTGATGTGACTCCATCCAGAATTCCTGTACTTTGAGAGAGCTGTGCAATTAAACATGCATCTGGGTATAAAAACTGTGTCCAGATTTACAAGATTAATCACGTGTAACTAAGTATCACCACATGTTTGTTTGTTTTTTTCAGGGTGTCGCCCCACGATTCTCAGTGCAGCATGTCTGAACGTGTTTGTACCGAGCTGCGCAAACATAAGGATTTAGAGGCATTTCGCTGCAGGTCTCAGGGTTTTACAGTCAGCTACATTGTACATTCTGGTGTTTTATGGTGAGGAAATTATGAAAAAAAAAAACCTGATCCACAGTGACTAAAATAATAAATATTATCAGAGTAAACCGTTAAATTCAGAACATTTGTCTAATTAATCACGACACGCATGCTACTGTCACTTTAAATCCACACAAAGTGCTGCACTGAGAAACTCATTCAAACCAGACCATCATTCCCACAATCCTTGGAGTGCTGTAGGGCAAATCACGCTGTAGCTATGCCAGTAATTTCACTCATTTAACTAGCTTGTCCTCCTCTGTGGGCAGACGTCTACAAAACACCCATGTGTGTGTTGCTGTGTTTATTAATGTGAGCCAGCAGTCACATGACATTTACTCTCACATGGATCAACTCCAAGACGCTGACCTTTTGCACAGTCTGCAGCCTACATGTGTTTCTGTGAGCCTATGTGTGAAGTTTAGTACTTTCTTGCCAATATCATTCATCATAATGCATAATGCAAATACATAAACACATGCACATATGATTTCAAACCTCAAAAAACACAGCACACTACAAAATCAAGTTTAAAGAATCAATATGACTCAAGATTGTCCCAGGCTAGCAGATCAATAGTCTAGTCACGTGCTAAACTATAAACTATGTATTCAGTATGTTGGTATATAAACAGCAGTGTTGAGGGTAATGCATTACAAGTAACCTAATCAGATTACTTTTTCAAGTAACTAATAAAGTAGTGCATTATCTATATCTGAGTTACTTTTCAAATAAGTAATGCAAGCTACTTTGTTTTCCCATTTATTCACTGACACATGTGTTGAGAGAAATCGTGAGTGAGGTGCAGAGACAGAGGCACTTCCTTCAGCCCGAGGCTTATTAATTTCACTTTTGGTGTGAAAGGGACTTTACAGTTGCTAAATATATAACCTTTGGGTTTTTTGTTATTAAAAATAAATATGCATGCCCAGCCCAGGAGACAAAAAGTAACACAAAAGTAATTTAATGCATTACTTTACATAAAAAGTAACATTAGTTACGCATAGAGTAACGCAACATTGTAATGCATTACACTTAAAAGTAACTTCCCCAATGCTGATAAACAGCTTGCAGCATGCCGTGGAGAGATTAGATAACAAAGATTCATTTAACATCTTTGTGTGTCTGTTTGATCATAACTTGGACCGGTTTCTCATTGTTTCCTAGGCCTTGGGTTTGATCTGCTGGCATTGTATCACTGTAACGTCTCTAGCGAGCAATTTATCGATTAGAAAAGTAGAATTTGGCGTAAGGAGTTTGTTCAAATCACTAGACCAAAGTATGCACAAAAAATAGTGATGCTTGACTTAGCAAACACGCTAGTCTGCAGGAAACCTTTATTTCAGGTGGCAGGTGGAGACCCGGTGATGTTGATTCAGTGCCAGCGGGTGATGATGCCCTTCCTCTGTTCCTGCCATTGACCTTGAGATTATTAACTATTAAGCTCATAAACTGCTTCATTAGTGCTGCAACAGTACTCTAATCTGCCCTGTTCCTGACCACGACATGGAGGCCTTCGAAACTAGAATCCTGCTGTGTTGTCGTACTTTTATCATATGAAGCATTATGAGTGTGCTAGTGAGTAAGCAGCTACATAATGTGTTATACTTTCACTAATGGACTAACATCTGCCTAATCTGAGCTGAACATCAGGCTCCATCCCAACCAGTCTATCCACAGTGAAATCTCAGCGGTCTGAAATCCTGTTTACATAATCATATATTAAATATTTTGGTTTCTACAGGTTCATCCCATTTTTGTGTACTTCTGCACTATTCTACGCCATTGTTTTTAGTGTAATAGTGCACTACAAGCATTTACACATCAAGTGCACTGGAAATTGAATATCCTTTCATTAAAATCTATATGAATTGTTTCATTTAAGATGACACTAATGTATACACTATGTACTTAGCGTAGTCTATCCACCTTATTTTTTACGTACAAACTTAAATGTTACGAGGCTTTCGGTGTAAGTCGCTTCCAGTAATTTTATCTGCACAAAAACACTCTGTCATGCTGTATTTGCTATCACATTAGTTACATTTTTTACCATAACTGGTTTGTTGCGCAAATACCTCTTACTGCACTGTGGTGTTCTTGTGGTTGGCTAATGAACCGGAAGTCTCGCACATTCACAGGAACTAGCTTCATTCAGCGTTGAACAGTAGTGTAAGTACACTATGTACAGTACATGATTTGCGACGCAACTTGCGCTGGGTAACCACGCCCACTGCGAAATCTCATTGGTCAGAATCGCACTCTGCATTATTGAATATTAAGCAGATAGAATCTGATTGGCTGCGACTGTATCGCGTACTGCAGTATTTTCGCTTTCAGTGTTGAGATGATCACGTGACTTGGAGCTGAAGGTTATTATCTCCACATCTGATATTAAATCATAAACCTGTGAATTCATGGACAGTTATCCTGTACTATAAATAACATTCCGTTATGACTGCGTGTGTTGGGTTTCTTCCGTACCTCCTCCACCGAGCTCCACGACAGCCCCCGGGCGGCGAGTCCGATCCGCAGTTCGTTGACATCGATCAGTCCGTTCTTGTTCAGATCCAGCTGCTCGAAGAGCTCGGCCCAGAGCCGCTCGCGTTCGGGATCGACCCCGCTGTCCTGACATCGCGCCCGCGTCCAGCCCGAGCGGCACGCGCTCTGCCACATGATCATATCCACTCACGGTCACCCACGGAGACACATCGGCTCGATGAAAGCCCGCACGGCCGGAAGACGCGTTCTGCGTGCGTCCAAAAAAGGAGCTGTTAGTGAAACAAACCCCTCGCGTCGCGTCCCGACAGCTCGCGTTTCGCATATGGTGTCAAACAGCTGTTTCACACGAGAACAAGGAAGCTTTCGCAAACATGAATTCTGACTTCCAAGGTACTTCCAAGATCCCCGTGCGCTAGCGGTTTCTTATCCTCAAGCATTGCGACATTTCAAGACGAGCTGAAAACGCCATGCGTCAAAACATGATGAACGCGCGCGAAACGCGGGTCGAGGACTGCAATGACTTGCAATGTATGCGATACAACAGCGGCTTCAGATTACACCCTCAGGAGGGGCTTCCTTGGGTGATCTACACTGATATGAGCCAAAATATCCCGGTCCTGAAGAATTAATCAATCAGGACTGATTAATTAAATGCAGCAACTTCTCCAATGACTCTGCAGACAAATGACATACAGTACAGTTTGAGTTAAACATCTTCTGTCATACAGAACAGAACACGATCTTTTCTTCACAAGGCTGATTGGTTATTTTCATTCAGGCTGGCTTATGAAGTCACTTCCTGAGGGTTCATAAAGAATCCATAAGGTTTAAGAGGAGAAAGTGGGTTTGCATGGCATTTTTCAGTATATCTGCTGACTCTTATCCAGACACATAGAAGGATCAGAAGTGTGAGCAGGAGAATATATGGTAGAAGTGCTGGCTTTCACATCGAAGACAAATCCCAAGCTGATTTTTCTTGGTTACTTGAATCTGGCCGTTTATGGTAATTAGTTGGTTCAAGCTGGTCTAGATCAGCTAAACCGCTAGCCAGTTTTTGATCTGCTAGAGGTAGACCATCTTGCTCATTTTGGTTAGACCTAGTAGACCTTCAAAAAACAGCTACAATGTTGCAAAAACCAGTCTGACCACCTCAAAGGCTCACCCAAAAATTCTGTCAATATACTTACTAACCCTCATGTCGTTCTGAATGCATTTGACTTTCTTTTCTCCATGCAACACAAAATCAGATGTTTGGATGAATGTCCATGCTGTATTGTTCCATTTAATAAATGAATGGGGACGGATGCTATCAAGATCCTCCCAAAAAAAGTGGAACAGACCCAAATTTAAGTTGTTTTCCTGATCTCATCTGCTTTCTCATATTGAAATATTTATGCATGAAGATATTTGGGCTTTTCTGTCATTTCTGGAGCCCGACAGTGTCCGTTTCCTATTTTGTTCAGTTTTCCAACTGGTTATGAAACAGAAATTCATGCTACAGTTTCCCGCAGTAATGTTCACTTTAAATGCATTCTCTATCACTACGATCATCAATAATAGCTCCACAAATGACAGTGTCTGGAAACGAGCTATTCTGTGAATTGATATACAGAACATGCTAAGATCAGCACACAGATAACCTACTGCACACCTGTTGCCTTCACCGTTCCCGACACAAATACAGGTGATGCACACACAGATACACGCTTTCTGATGAAAACCGCTGTCAGCTGCTGTCCACACCAACTGTACGAACATCAGTACAGCCCATAATCATGATTAGAGCTTGTGATATGAACAGTCATTGTGTTGTGTTCTCACCCAACAGCTGTCCTTGTTGTTTCATGATCTCAGGATCAGATTAATGTCACTATATAACAGCAGGACAAAGAGACAGAGAGAGTCAAGCGGAGCTGGAGACATTTGATCGCTTCTGTGAGGTTCATTCAGACGTTGTGTGATGTGTAAGGGGCTGTCTGCCATCCCCTCCTCATACCTGGAGAAGTGAGTATCAGCGCTTTTGGGAAGACAGATACTGGAGCATTAAACTGTGTATGGATGTGAAACTGTGTTGATGTTTCAGGGCGAAGGGCATGAGGGTCAAACTGTCCCACCTGGCCGAAAAGCAGGATTGGGTTTACAAACACAGGTAACACAAGTGCACTGCTCTCATTTACACTCGTTTTCTGGGTTCAGTACAAATTAAGCTTGATCTGAAGAATTTGTGGCATAATGTTGATTACCACAACAAATATTTTCCACTTTCCCTCATTTAAAAAAAAAAATGCAATAAATAAAATATATATAAAAAAAGAATAACTAGATAACTAGATTCGCACACTATAAAGTCGAGTGGATTCTTATTGGTTGCCAATGTTTTTAACGTTCATCAAAAACGTTTTGAAAGTGATTACAACGATATCGTTATAGTTATGGTGTTGACTTTGCTATTCTCAGAGAACGATCATTAAAACTTTATGGTGTGTGTCTTTACCTTGAGACATTTACCTTCAAAGTGAATGGGACCAATTTGTAAACGTTAAAGGGGGCAAAACACACACACACACACACACACAAAGGGGACATAACACACAGTTTGACCCAATCTCATGTTAAACTTGAGTACCTATGGAGTAGTATTGCATCCTTCATATCTCCGAAGAGTTTTTAGTTTTATCAGATTTATAAAAGAAAGATACAGCTTTACGATTCTCTCCGAAAACAGCCGAGCTCCTGGAGGCGTGCCACGGGGCGGAGCTAAAGAGTCGCGAGCACTTACGATTTGACGCAGTTTTATTTTTACCGCCTGCGGTTCCGACTCATGACCGGGATCTTTTATCGCTGGGACCGCTCCATCTTTCAGTATCAAACGATCTGTAAATCCAGCGTCGAACTGGGCCTCGTTTATAAAACATTCGTCACCGAAATGACGGGAAATAACAAAAACACACTTCTTTGTGTGCGTGCTCTTCCGGGAGACGTGCCCATATAAGGAATTCCGTCCTTTATGACGTCATACAGGGCCATACTCGGGGGAAAAAAAAACTTCTGAAACTTCCGAGTGTATTTGGCACAGAAATACTCCCTCGTACGTCCAACTGGTTTTTTGAGACTTTGGCCATGTTTAGCATGAGAACTCACTTTAACAGTGTAAATAACTCAGAATGCATAGCATTAGACCTCCCCTTTAAAATATTATTTTCGATAACTAAGCCACAAAATGTAAACAATATGTGTGTTAATGTTATTTTGGTATAAAAAAAAAATAAAATCGCACACTAGCCTTTTTCGTATAGTTCTATCCAGTTTTAAAGCTTTGTTGCCATGACAACGCAACGCGGTAAACCCTAAAACGACCGTTGAGCCTAGCGAGAACTTTACAGCTCAAATAATACACAACTGTTAATTAATGTATGTTTTTATAAAAAGTAAATTAAAATATGCTTCATATTTCTGCTTTTAAATCAATTTCCATTGTAAGTGCCTCCATAACCTAGAATAGAGGAGCGTCCGAGTTATTTTTGTGGTAATCAATATTATGGCACAAATGCTATCGATTGAGTTGAACTTGTACAGAACCCTACGTATTTATTTAAGACATAAAAGTTGAACAAAGAAATAAACATCATCTATTATTTTTGTCTCCAGAGCGAGTGAGGAAAAGCCGCCACAGGACTTGGAGTCTCTGCTCAACAGCAAGCGTGAGAGGACCTGCTTTCCTAATGATTTGACTTCACTTCTGTTTTCTGCACTGAATCTCGGCGTTCTCTCCGCAGCGGGCGTTCAGGCGTTCCGCTGCTTCCTGCGCTCGGAGTTCAGCGAGGAGAACCTGGAGTTCTGGCTGGCGTGTGAAGAGTACAAGAGCACATCCGGGTCCAGACTGGCGGCGAGAGCCCACAACATCTACAAGCAGTTCATCAACCCTGATGCTCCTCGTGAGGTGCGAGAAGAACGCAGGCCGTCTAGACCAGCGCGAATTTAACTCAAAAATCAAGTAGAAAAAATAAAAAAGATATTTTAATTACATTTAAACACACTTTGTCCAAAGTCATCATTAGCAGCAATAAAAAAAAGAATATATATATACTTAAATTTAAATGTACTTAATTATAAACAAATTAATATTTTTTAAATGTATTAATTTACATTTAAATACATTTACATAATATACTTATGTATAATTATTTAAATTGAAGTATATAGAATGCACTGTATTATTCTAAAAAATTACTAAAATATAATAAAAATAAATGTATTTTATGTACATTTGTAAAATGATGTATTTATAAATTAAATTTTTTTCTTCAAATATATCAATTTTTTTATTACAAGAATGAGAATTTGGAGAGAAATGTGCTTAATTGTCAGCAATACAAAAAAAATAAATATATGTATTTACATTTACATATACTTATTTTAATTGAAGTATATAGAATGCACTGTATTATTCTAAAAAATATAATAAAACAAATGTATTTTATGTTAATTTGTAAAATGATGCATTTATAAATTACATTTTATTCTATTACAAGAATGAGAATTTGGAGAGAAGTGTGCTTAATTGTCATAAAAAGCAATGTTATAATGCAAAAAAATCTTAAAGGGCCTTAAATAGGCTTCATTTTCATTTTCTAAAGTGTGAAGTCTTATTTATTTCTCCCGATTTGAAAGTAAAATATGACCCAGACATGTTCTTGACAGTTTTCACTCTCATATACGAGCTCGTATGATGTGTTTCTCAGGTGAATCTGGACGGTGAGACGCGTGAGGCGTTGACGGGGCTGATGGAGGATCCCACAGCGCAAACGTTCGATGAGGCTCAGCAACGGATCTTCTCTCTGATGGCTGAAGACTCATTCCCACGTTTCCTGCGCTCGTCTTTCAGTCAGCAGCCTCTTAAAGTCCTGTGAAGCACACTGTGCTGTTAAACCCAGTGTATCTGAGGTCTAGACTAGATCCATTAGTTACCCTGCTATCTGTAGAGATGCATGAGCCACAGTCAGGTAGGACATAGATTCTATAGTCATTTTGAAACATCTGTAATTGCTCACTGTGCCTTTATATCTTTAAACCGGATGATTTAATAAAGTTACTTGGGTCAAAATGGGAGTGTTTTGCTGTCAATCAATCACACACTGAGAGCCAATCAGAGATCTGGAAGCTCAAGGTCGCCAGACAATCGAGGCTGAACAAAGAAATATAGCAGGCGGAGAATCACAGCCAATCACAGAACGAGCAGCACGTCCTTGACGACAGGAAAACCTTCAGGGATTTTACCCCCGCAGTCTAATAAAATGAGTGCGGCTGCTTAACAGTGGAAAAAGTTGCTCTGGTTTACAAGATAAACCCAAAAAGGGGAGAAAGGGGCTATAAAACCAGAATATGATCATGAAATTAACTAGATTTAAAATATTAGCAATGCTTGCCCATGACAAAAATCGCTGTCACCAGGCATTATAATCATAATTTATTATATAAAAATAAGCACAGTCTAAAATATCATGGCCTGTTGCACACATGTAAGATTTGTCATATGTAATTTCCACACCGTGTTTCTTTTCTCCAAGAAAAAACCTTAAGAAGAATAAACTTCACTGTCAGTCCAGAGAGAGTGGTAAACATCAGATTTTATATTATGGCGCCATCTAGCGGCTGTGCAGCATACTACATTATTTGCCTGTCATCAGTGGGATTTGGAGGATCCGGCAGCTGGGTTTGAGGGTCCAGATGTCCCGCTTTTCCCCGCTGGAGTCTTCAGCACGCTCAGTTTCTTATGAAGGGACTTGCTGGCCTTCTGTGTGACTTCCTGCTCAATCCTGTTCCTGATGGCCACCTCCAAACCCTGCACCACAAATACAAACACACCAATTAAACCACTATTATTTAACACAGAATGGTTTTAAATGAGGACTGAACGTTTACCTTCTTCAGCTTCTGCTGTTGGACCACTTGAGCTTTTTTGGGTGCGATGATCCTTCCTGGAATATAGGATTTGAAGAAACACATTTTACACCGATTAAACTGAAGTGCGCATGCGCGTCTGTACAGCCGCAAACGCGTTCACTCGGCACGCTGCTAAGAATAAATCTCTAATTAGCGCAGTTTTACGTTCAGAGTACCCCTCTCTTCAAGAACACAATGTTTTTACCTCCTTTCTTGAGTCCTTTCGGTTTGTGTTGTTGCTTTTTAGCTCCTCCGGGTTGCTGCGCTTTGAATTTCTGTTTACCTTGAGGCATTTCTACGGTCTGATCGCAGCCGGAAACAGAAAGACGTAAGACACGAAATAGAATAAAAGTCTCTAAAACTCTTAGGATGAAATTTAAAATAAAAGTCTCTTCTAAATGCCAAACAGAGTGTGTGTGTGTGTGTGACGTAAATTATAAATAAAACACTATTTAATTAATATTAATAAATAATGCAAATATACATTTGCATATTTAATTGATCAAAATTGCAAACTAATTTTAAGACTAATGATTTATGAACAAAATGTTATTTAGGACTAGTTAGGCAGCTAGATTTGGAGAAACAGCCTACAAGTAATACGCAAAATAAACAACAGTATTTATGTTCACTGTGGCTTTATTAATAATAAAAAGTGCCACATTTTAAAAAGTCAAGCATGCCACAAGTGTTTTCCATCAGTATATTTCTTTGCCGAAACGAGGGCCCTCGAAACACACACACACACACGCTCACACACACACGCTCACACACACACACACACACACACACACACACACGCTCACACACACTCACACACTCACACTCACTCACTCACACACAGAGAGAGAGAGAGAGAGAGAGACAGAGAGAGTTAGAAGTTTCTGATACCAAATAACGAGTGTTAAATAAAGTGACAGATGGATCCTCCTGAACCCACCATCAATGACAAGAGCTCACAGCAAAACAATACGTGATATAAAAACACACTTTCCATTCTCAACAACCAATTACAGGCCTCGATTTATTCAAATTAGCACTGGAGAAGAGGCAGGGTTACAGTAACACTGTGGATTCTGGAGAAATCAAGTTAATGCTCTAGTTTGCACATACAAGAAATTATAATGACGAATCTTCACGAAGAATTCTTGCATTTTAAGACTTGGCTGCATCTTTGCAAGAACACAGAAGGTTTCTCTTCTTCATTTCTCCTCTGATTTTAAACTTCATTTTACATTACTTTTCATAATTCAGTATAATAGGGTTCTGGAAGTCAGTGTAACCAATAACTTCAATAGCTTTTGTATCTAAACCTGATTATTGTAAAAGGCTTTTGTTGAAGAGTTTGAAGATGAGTACAAAAGATCTTCTCCATGTAGACCATATAAAGTAGACTTGATTTAAACAGTCAGATTCTCCCGATAAACATGAACTACAATCCTTGACCTTTAACCCTTTAGGTTTTAATACTTCAACTCAGCGACCCTGAACATGAAAACCAAGAGCAGCATTAAAATCATATTTATACTGGTGGAAAACAGAAAAAAAGTCAGCAAAATGTGTTTAAAACACTTTTTAGTTCTAGTTCTCCAACCGGCCATTATCACCTGAAAGCTTTATGTGAAAAAAAGAAGAAAAAAAAAACATGATTGATCAATCCACAACAAAACTGATTAAAATAAATAACCATTCCTTGATTCCTCTGACTGTGATTAAATAATTCAGCAATAATAATAATAATAATCAGACAGAACTGCACACAAATGGAAAGATGCACTGTAGTGGCGGTAATGGAGGAGACACTGAGGACGCGTCTCCGCTTTACGACAACAAAAAACATATTCCCCACAATTCCCAGCGGCAACTGATCAACCGCTCAAGCTTGTCCTGATTTGGTCTCCACAGGAAATCTGTCGGTACCTCCCGGGACCGTCCTGTTAGCACACAGGCCCTGAAGAGTGCGTCTGTCACTGAGGTGCTGCTGGATCACTCCAGTGTCACGAGGTATTAAAACACACAAGACCTCGAGTCCTGAGTCTCTTCATCCACTGACCTCAGAGCTGGTCACCGTGACGGAGAGGCCTGATTGGCCGGGACGAGCTGTCCTTCATCACCTCTTCTGCTCCCAGGTCTCCGGCATGTTTAGGTCCAGATGCTCCAGAGAGCGCAGAGCCTGCACGTTCTCAGAGTAAAACGCCACGTCCACCATCACCAACCTGCAGAGAGACAAAGATGACGAGCAAATGTCATAAACAAGTCACACCCAATTAATAATAGAAAAAACATTTCTATATAATAATAGACTGATAGAAAATGATAGTAAAAAATATACTCATTTTTAATATATATTCATTATATGTAAAATCAATATTAAAGACATTTTATTTATGTATAGTATATATTTATAAAGTAGATTTTTAATATAAAAAATAAAAAGTATATAGTATATAGAATTTTCCATCAAATTAAGCCTAAAATGAAGCCTTTTTTTTGTAATTCTCATAATCACTGGTGTTTCTCATTGCTGTAATACAGAAAAACGAACGCTCACCCATACTGAGGTCCGCCATCATTAACGACTCCCAGCCGCGCTAACTGTCTCTTCAGATGCAGCTTAAAGCTGGCGTTTATCCTGAGGAACAGCATCTACACACAAACACACAATAAACACCATGAGATAATAGTCTCGGTTCACGCTGACGACTCAAACATCACGTGCGCGTCTCACCTGCGTCTGCTCCTCCGGTAAGAGCTCATTAATGGCCTCGTGCATCTTGGCCATCTGTTTACACACGTTACGCAAACACGCAGACGGCATCGGCGCCTTCACCTCATACTGCAGAGAACACACACGGTTCAGCTGTGATAACCCACAGTAATACTACAGAGATCACAGAGATGCAAACCTACCTTAGACAGAGCCTTCTCAAACATACTGTCCATGATGGCCACAAGTTTGGCAGAGATCTCTGCGATGTGATCGTTATAGTCCTGAAGAGAGAGGAAGAACAGAGTGTTAGCAGTGTAAAACGGCTGTCACTGTGTGGTTTGTGGATGTGAGGATGTTTACCTTGGTGATGTGGTCGAAGTGTCTCAGTATGCTGTACTGTCTGGGCTGCAGTCTGGTCCTCACCCATACTGAGGTCCGCCATCATTGACGACTCCCAGCCGCGCTAACTGTCTCTTCAGATGCAGCTTAAAGCTGGCGTTTATCCTGAGGAACAGCATCTACACACAAACACACAATAAACACCATGAGATAATAGTCTCGGTTCACGCTGACGGCTCCAGCATCACATGCGCCGTCTCACCTGCGTCTGCTCCTCCGGTAACAGCTCATAAATGGCCTCGTGCATTTTGGCCATCTGTTTACACACGTTACGCAAACACGCAGACGGCATCGGCGCCTTCACCTCATACTGCAGAGAACACACACGGTTCAGCTGTGATAACCCACAGTAATACTACAGAGATCACAGAGATGCAAACCTACCTTAGACAGAGCCTTCTCAAACATACTGTCCATGATGGCCACAAGTTTGGCAGAGATCTCTGCGATGTGATCGTTATAGTCCTGAAGAGAGAGGAAGAACAGAGTGTTAGCAGTGTAAAACGGCTGTCACTGTGTGGTTTGTGGATGTGAGGATGTTTACCTTGGTGATGTGGTCGAAGTGTCTCAGTATGCTGTACTGTCTGGGCTGCAGTCTGGTCTCAAAGTGTGCTCTGATCACAGGGATGTAGTGAAGCACCAGCTGAAGACAGCGAGACGCCAGAGCTGAGGACACACACACACACACAAACACAGATTTTTGAGACTGTCACACATTCAACTGTAAAACAATAACTGCAAGTTTAAAATATTAAAAGACGTTATATTCAATATGTACTGAAATTGGTTTATGAACTGATATATCAGTATACATGAATTAGAGGTCAATGGATATTGGATTTTGCATCTGTTTACTGAATGTTGAATAATGTCTTTGCTTTACATTGAACTATGTTGAATTAAATGTCAGATAGAGTTTATTGACAAGCCTGAAATGCACTAGGACTCTTATTTTGAAATGTATATGTTTTACTATTTGCTCATGTAAAAAGATGAGATAGATTAAATATGCTTTCATATAACAATCTACAACACATTACAATATAAACGCCATAATTCTTCAACAGTGGATCATAAGCGATCTTTTGGCATAAATGTGCCCAAATGTAAGACCTCTTACAATGATAATTAAGACTTTTGTTATACCATTTAAGATATTTAAGACATTAAATTTGATCAAATTAAGATTTCTTTAAGGACCCACAGTAACCCTGTGACAGGCATTAGCCAAATACAGTTTTAGGGTTGTGCTTTAAATTCAAATACCATCACTGCATCTACGAGACGCATCACGTGTGTTTTCTTACCCAGGTTTCTGGTG